GCTGATCTCAAGGGTTGCTCAGTCCTCAGGGAAGGCTTTCCGGGAAGCTCAGAGGGAAAAGAGAGGTGAAGGAAGGAATTTTTCATAAATGGACCTGTATTCATAATTCTTTAGTCTTGCCCATTTTGCCAAGAATAGAATGTTACTTTTCAAGACAAGTGGAGAAGCGCATTAGTGGGAAAAAACCCTCAAAAACAGAAGTGAAACAAGAAGTTAAATTTGAATAAGGGCCAACTTTTTTTTACAAGCAAAATAAATCATGTGATTGACGTTACTTTTCAAGACAAGGGGAGAAGCGCATTAGTGGAAAAAAACCCCTCAAAAACAGAAGTGAAACAAGACGTTAAATTTGAATAAGGGCCAACTTTGTTTTACAAGCAAAATAAATCATGTGATTGTTACAAGCCCGGGTATACTAGCTACGGACACTTTCACAGGCAGTGGAAATAACAGGAATGTTGGCAATTTGTCACTGGGGGGAAAAATTATGAGGAAATGAAGCATAAGAGTGGAATGAAAAACAAAGAGGAAGGGCAGGCAGGATAAATATGTGCAAGACAGACTCCCCTCGGGCATCCCAGTTTAGCTGTACAGTTCTTTCAGTCCTGGAGTCTGTATTTTAAGTGCTGTACAAGATCCTCTAATGATAAACTTCAGCACTTTACAACACAAAAGTTTGTACCTCGTTGGCTTCTAACGACAGCGCTTCGAGTTGGCCTTCCAGCCTCATCTTCTCTTTGAGGACCTGCAACATTTCGTCATGTGTGCCCACAATAGAGCTTTCCATGGATATACTGGAGAGGGACAAAGCACAGGGCCGCACACGCTTCAGTGCATATCTTGTGTTACTTATGCACACTGCATGCACATTTAACAAAAGCAAAATATCCATCGCCAGCTCGTGATATAACTCTGCCTAAGGAGGCAGGGCAAAGGCACAATGCCCTGTGGTAACTAAAGCTGGCGGTCCCCAACCTTTTTGAGCCCGTGGGCACCTTTAGAATTCTGACACAGTTTGATGGGTGTGGCCACAAAATGGCTGCCACAGCGAAGATCCTCAAGATGAGGGGCCAGCTGCTGCCAAAACAACGTTCTTAAAAATCTGCACAGCCATTCAGATCTCCAGGGGCCAATCAGAACCCTTGCTTGGCAAAAGGCCCACTGGGCCCTGCCCAATTTCTAAAAAACACTCGGTGGGCACCAGGATGCAGTGCAACATGGGTAAAGCTACAGCTAGGCCAGGCTATCACTGAAAGGAACTCCCTGAATCCTTTCCCCTGCATGTGGTTTATGCCACCTGTAGGTTTAACAGGGATACGGTTTCCAAAGGGCTATCACTTATACCCCCTTTTTACAAAAGGGGTGAAAGATTTTTCATACTCCATTCAGATTTAATCCCAAAACGATAACATCAAATTAGAAGAGAAACGACAGCTTTGTGTTATTGACTAATTACCCACCTGCTAATTTACACTTGATTTGAAAGAGATAGGCACTTAAGGCATCATTACCGTATCTGACACAAACAAGTTTCTGAGAAACGAAGAGTTATTGCATTCTTAGGGCTGAAGTGGATAAGAGTGTCTGGGGAAAAACCCTCGAATCTTAGTTAAGGGCAACACATTGGAGAGATTTCTATATTAAATACTTAATAGGTATGAAGAGGACACGTAAAGGTTTCCCTTGCTTGAAAGCCAGTCGAATTCGACTCTAGGGGGCTGAGCTCATCTCCATTTCCAAGCCAAAGAGCCAGCGCTGTCCGAAGACTTCTCCGTGGTCATGTGGCCAGCATGGCTAAACACTGAGGTGCATGGAACGCTGTCACCTTCCCACCAAAGCGGTACCTATTTATCTACTTGCAATTTCTTGTTTTCGAACTGCTAGGTTGGCAGGAGCTGGGGCCAGAGATGGGAGCTCACTCCATCACGCAGCACTAGGGTCTCGAACTGCCGAGCTACCGACCTTCCGGTCTGCAATTCAGCGTCTTAACCTCTGAGCCACCACAGCCCTATATGAAGAGGACAACTGAGGGCTTAAAGATAGGAAGCAGACTTTCTGTAACGTCCCCCCACAAATACAACATTTGACAACCCAGTGTGTCATCCAGTCTGTTCACTGGGTGGACCCCCAGCGCAGTCAGCTCGAAGAATGAATGCATATGGTACACAGTTCTGCTGCTGGAACTGAGCAGACCCAGCGCTGAGAGTTGCCAGGAAAATACATACATCAGCAATCTGAACTCTTTGGATAAAACAGTTGTATGGCTTGGGTGACTCGATCTTTGTTGCATGCTGGTGCTTAGTTGCCTTGAGTCTTGTGAGAGAGCACTGATCATCCACTCCCAAGATCATCTGCTCTCTCATGCTTGTTAGCAGCACTTATCTTCAAAGCCTGGGCTGTTTCTTCTACTCACTGGAAGCCAGATGCAAGTTGGCCTGGCTCATCCAAGTATTTGGGAATCATTCTTTGACTTGTAGCCAGCACTTAAGGTTTAAAACATGTAGTTTTAGTGATGCCTGTGGTCTTGAGGTCAGGGTAAGTTTCACTGTGCATGTGCATGCTTGATGCCAGCTGATGGGAGCTTAACCTGCACTTAACTGTAACTCTGATGCGTTATTAAAGAGCTCCTTGTAAGCAAAGCTGGACCATTTCATACCATTTCTTTGGGAATTTCTGAGAAGCTATGGAGTCCCTGGCCAGGCTCCATAACAACAGTGCACAACATACAACCAGCCATTCACATTTTCAGTCCCCCCACTGAGTCCAGTAGCACCTTAAAGACCAACAAGATTTCTAGGTTATAAGCTTCTGGGAGTCAAAGCTTCCTTTGCCAGATACAAGCAGGAATGGAGATCCATGAGCCCTAATACCCCAATTGGAAGGTACTGCAAGGAAGGGAGTCAGGATGCAAAGGTACAATGCAATCTGCTTGATCAGATGTAATCTGCTTGATCAGAGCACAGAAACAACGCTTAGGGGCAGAAAATTCTCACTGGTAGTGAGATAAGAATCCCATGTTCCTACTCAGCCTGGGGCGGCGGGGGGGGGGGCATTGTTCTGAATTTATGAATGAGCTTAAGCTCAGCCATCTACGACACCAGTTTATACCCTGGAAATCTTGTTTGCCTTTAAGTTGCTATTGGACTCAAATCTTGCTTGCCTACTGAAAACCAGTGCAGCTACCTACCCAAAATGGTTTAGGATAAGTAATCAATCTGAAAACAAAACTGTCTCTCCGTTTTTTTAAATTAAATTTTATTTTAAAGCTCCAAAGCAGGCAACCACTACCTTTCCTTCTGACGGACACTGTCATGATTACGAGAGCCACAAGCTGCTCAAAACTAGCTAGATCCTTTGGAACCCTGATTTTGCCACGTATGAATAACTGGTAGATGAACTTCCCTCTCCACACGGCCTGGGCCATTCATTTCAGCGCAGCAGTGGTCTGCAAACTGCATTCTGGTAATTCCCGGGGCTCCTTGGACCCTTTACAGGGGGATTCCTCAACGAAATGATCAGCGACAGCAGGTAAATTTCCCTGAATGGAAACTTGCTTACTACTGCTGAAGTTTCTTTGCTTCAGGCAGATGCAGGAGCGTGATGGATGTATTTGCTTGCTCAGTAAGGCCCAGCAGCAATGAGATTTGGCCAGCATACTGCACAAACCAACCACACACTTAGTGACCATGTCCCAGAAATTCCCACAATGCACAGGGCCATGATAGTAGAGAGAAGAAGAAGAGAGGAGGAAGAGATTGGATTTATACCCCACCCTTCACTCAGAGTCTCAGAGCGGCTTACAAACTCCTTTCCCTTCCCCTCCCCACAACAGACACCCTGTGACGTAGGTGGGGCTGAGAGAGCTCTCTGAGAATTGCTCTTTCCAGGACAGCTCTGACAGAACTTTGGCTTGCCCAAGGTCATCCAGCAGCTGCAAGTGGAGGAGTGGGGAATCAAACCCAATTCTCCCAGATTAGAGTCCGCAAACTTAACCACTATGCCAAACATGGAGGTGGCTGATAAGTCAATGCAGAAAGGATTTTGCTTCCCCCACCCACAACAAGTGACGCAATATTAGAAAGTTATCGCAGTTGCTCTTACCTGCTAGAGATGCTGTCTCTCCGACTCCTCACCTCCCCGTTCAGCTCCTGATCCTGGCTGTGTCCCTCCTTCGCTGCGGCCTGCAACACCTCTCTGATGGAAGGAAACTGTCCGACGGCATCCAAAGGAATCTCCTGGCCATTCACAGTGAACGAAACTGCCTGCTTGCCTTCCATGTTGAGTAAAGTGCTGTGCGGACCCCTGCCGGAGACACTGCTGTAGGTGGAGCTGTCACTCTCGTTGCCATCCAGCCGCATTCCGACGTCGCTTCCATCGATTTCCGACACGCTGTCTTCCGCCAAGGAGGAAATCTCCAGGCGGTCGTCTGGGTCGGGGGTCAGCCTGATCTCAGACACGACTGAAGTCAGGCTGTTCCTGTTTTGCTTTAGAGAAGCACTGGGCGAATCGGCGGCTGGAACAGTCCCACCAGCACTTCCGTCTGCATCGTCAGTTCTGTAGTCAGCCAGGGATCGGATCTTACTTGACCAGGAAGATCTGGAACTTTTCCTCTCTTTAGACTGCATCGGAAGACCCAGGCTTCCCAGCTTAGGTCCCCGTGGGACACTGGTCCGCAAGAAGGAATATTCTTTTGTCATAGCGACAGTGCTGGCCCTTGGCAAGATCTCTGGGTTGAACATTAGCTCAGGATCGAGGGTACTGGAGGGACGAGTTTTAGATTGCTTCTAGAGAAGAGCAGAATGAGAGAATACAGTTCTAGATCATTCAAAAATTAGACTGAGAACCAATTAAAACTCTTTTAGAGTACTATGCTATGCTGGCTCACTCCAGTCTAAGGCCGCTAATTTTAATGTAGTAGCTCTGTACTGGATAGCACTGCCAATCAATTAATTGCCTAGGTTTTTAACTGATAATAACCATGTTTTTCTAAACTATCTCAAAGCCATTACCATACCAACATAAATGGCAAAAAGACTGTCCTTCACTGGCCCTTGCAGATAGATGGAATGCAGTTTGGACATCAGCAGAATTTAATTCTTCAGTCTTGACAACACATTACCAAATGTTTAAATTAGTCTCCTGATGGTACCTAACACCAAAAACTTTATCATATACCTCGCCACAGCTGAGTCCAGGTTGTTGGAAAAACTGTGGGTCGGTTGGAACTTATGTCCATTGTTGGTTGACCTGCCCAGTGTTGGTACCTTTTTGGCAATTTTGGAGACAGTTATAACAATGATGGGGATGGCATTAGAATTTACTCTGGAGCGCCTTTTATTAGGAGCAAATTGCAATACAGATCAACCTCAATGGATAACTAATGTTATTGCGATTCTTTTATCGGCCACCAAACTCACCATAGCTGCTTGTTGGACAATTTTCACTGCCCCGACTCTAGAGATGTGGCATACACAACTATGGAATCCTAGCTAGGCTTACTTTTGTGAGTCAGACGACATCAGCTAGACCCCTCTTAGAGTTGAAGAAAATTTGGTCACCTATTCTAACTTATCTTTCTGATCAGAATTCCAAAGGAATTATATCATTGTTATGTTTAACATATGTCATTCTACAGTTAAATGATACATTTTTATACTAAAAAAAACCATGATTAAGAACAGCTGTGATTGATATTTACTGTGCATGTTGTTCTGGGTTTTGTTTTTTTAAATATGCCGCTCCTTATAACTTTATGAATTACTTGCAGGTAGCATTAACAGTAGCTGTGAGCTGTCAGATTTTTAAAAGTGAAATAAATAAAATAAAATAAACCAAAAACCCCCCCCCAAAATGCAACAAGGTTGCCTTTTTAAAACTACTGAAGAGAGGAGAGTTTCCTTTTCAGCATGAGAACTTTAACAACAAACAGAAGCTTTTCAGGGATCAAAACCAGTATGGTTCTATAAAATAAACAAGACCCATCAGAAATTTCTGAGACACCTCATAGGCCATTAAATTGGTACCACTCCACTAATAAATCAGGCATATCCCCCCGGAATTCAGCAAGCTCTGTGGCTAGAATGGTAGGACATCAAAACTGCAGATCAAGAAAAAGCTGAGACAGCAGTTGTTCAAAATTGTACAGAGTGTGGTCCTATCTTCAACTTTTGTTATACAGGAGGGACAAAGTATACTGCTGAAGAGCTGCAAGAATATCAGATTTCCATGCGGAGCGCAATCCTTTAGTTTCTGTCTCCATCTTTTAGTTTCTGTTCTGCTCCGTCCTATCAGTTTCTGTCTGAGATGTTGCAATGCATATGCATGAGTCATATGGTCTGCATAGCTTCTAAGGCAGAGGTGTCGAACTCATTTGTTAGATCTGACATAAACGTCACTTTGTCAAGCCAGGCCACATGTGCCATAAAATGCAATGCCAGTTACCAGAGATATAAACTTTATCCTGGATGGGCTGGTTCCAGCCCACGGGCTATATGTTTAACACCCCTGTTCTGCCCTTGAGTAAAGAATAATATTGTTAATTGGGTCCGCCTGTGTCCTTTATCAAGTTCATATCTCTAGTACCTGGCGTGACATTTTAGAGCTTAGCACTGGGACAGTGTACAGCAACATAATGCACAGCCTCTGTCATCTGGCAATAAAGAAGAAGAAGAAGAGATTGGATTTATACCCCACCTTTCACTACCTGAAGGAGTCTCAGAGCGGCTTACAATCCCTTTCCCTTCCGCTACCAGTCCACGTTCCTAACTACTACACCAAACTGGCTCTGATGACCAGTTGCTCACAGGCTGGATAAGAGCCCTGGATGGGCTGGTTCCAGCCCACGGGCTATATGTTTAACACCCCTGTTCTGCCCATGCTATGGAGCTGCGGTGGCTCAAGTGGTTAAGACGCTGAACTGCAGGCTGTGGAAGGTCAGTAGTTCAGCGGTTCGAGACCCGGGTGCCGCATGATGGGGTGAGCTCCCATCTCTAGTTCCAGCTCCTGCCAACCTAGCAGTTCGAAAGCAAGAAATTGCAAGTAGATAAATAGGTACCACTTCGGTGGGAAGGTAACAGCGTTCCGTGCGCCTTGGTGTTTAGTCATGCCGGCCACATGACCACAGAAACGTCTTCGGACAGCGCTGGCTCTTCGGCTTTGAAACGGAGATGAGCACCGCAACCCTAGAGTCGGATTCAACTGGCTTTCGAGCAAGGGAACCTTTACCTTTACCTCTGTCCATGCTAAGGGCTGAGGAATACAAGCTCAGCAAAGCCACCTTATGCCAATTCAGGCCACTGGTCCACTGCCATTGATCTGAGGCACAGAAAGGCCATTCCCAACAGGCGCTACCTAACAGCCATTGAGTGGAGATTTGTGACTGACTGAACCTAGGACCTTTTGACTCTGAACTCACCCTACGTCAGAGACTTAAGGCCACAGACCTGCCCGCTGGACTCATTAGAATACAGTTGCAATAAAAAAGCAAAACAGAGACTCCACCCCCCAAGTTCCTTACTCTCTCCTGGTGCCTTTTCACACGGTACTGTTTCAGCTGCTCTTCAAGGCGCCTTCTTGCCTGAAGTCTGATCTGTTCTTCCCTCTCCAATGGAAGAGGAGAATCAGAGGAACCTGTATCATGAAAAAAGCAGCTTTCAACATCTGTTATGTAGATGGATTCTGTGTGCATCAATCACATCACTCAGCATATTATCATCAGTAATTATTCTTTTACTATGAAAGAACAAGCGGTTAGGGAGGAGGTAAAAGGAGAACAAAGGGCTGGAGACTGATGAGATGGCCACTGTTTTAACAAAGCTGCTTTAGTTAGGGTCACTGAAAGGAGGGTAAGTTACACTGCGGGCTTGCCAAATTGCACTCGGATTCTTGTTCAAGATCGGCTGCAGCAGCCCAAAGACACCAATAGGCCATGGGTATCCCTGCTGGGGGAATGACCGCTTCAGTTCTAACAAAGCAGTCTGATGAGCCAACAGGCCACACTTCTATGTGCAAATCTGAAAGTATTAGTTTTTCATAGCACTGTTGGTACGCAAAGAAATTTAATATTCTCCTTTGTTCATCTTTACACCCACCACCCTGGGAGGCACAACATTAGGGTAACTGGAGGGTTGGAGAAAGACAAACAGACAGACAGAGATGTCAACAAGCCACCCACAAAGTCCAGAAGCAAGCAGAGATTCTAATGCAGATTTCCTAGCTGTCGTGCTCCTAGCCAGGTGGATCTGTGTACGGGAGGGCTGAGAGGGACGATGCCTTCCCCCAAATTCATGCACTAAAGTAGAACATGCACTATTTGCAAGGCGCGCTTACTAACACACAGTGAAAGGAGGTGCCTCACCAGCCCACAAAAACCCTAGTCCCATTGTGTAAGCATTGCTATCAAAAGCATCATTCACTTACTTTGAAGGTTAAAAGTCATGGCACTTCCGAGCAACACGTAAGAACGCCCTCCATGTTACGGGCACTGCCTGCTTCAAGAACCCTAATCACCTACTTATGTTAGACACATGGGAAGGCTGACCATGGGATAAATCGACTGAAAACTTTTACGGAGTTAGCATTTAATTTTTAAGGGACCTTGAGCAGGCTCTGTGGCTAGGCAGAGTGGAAATGATGCCAATAAACAGGTAGGTCTCTGTCATGGTTGGACACTATCAGGATTAGAAATCAGTACCGTGCCGGGGCTGAGCCTGACATCGTTTGACCTCGCAGGTACACTGCACTAAACAAAATGGTTCTTTGTTTACATGCAGTCAGCTGCATTCAGAGGTCTCAAACAAATCAGAGCTTGTTTGCAGTGAGCAGAAGCTTGCTTTGTTGTTCCTTGTTCCCTCCTCTTGTCGTGCGCGCAGCCATGATTGAAGACTTCCTGGTCTGATCGATTTGCTAGTACAGCCAAATCTAGGCACCTTAACCAAGTCCTTCCCCAGTAGCCAGCATTCTAAACCATGGTTCATTCCTGGCACAGAATCCCAGTTCCTAAGAATGAAACAAATCTGGGCGTTGCAGCACACTGGCATTAAACTGAAGGTTTCTTAAAACCAGGACATCTTCCACTGATGCTCTGTGCATGAGGAGAGGATGGAGGGAGCGTGTGAGCAGAAGAACAAGCCAAGTTTGTGCTCACCATAGATAAATTCTGACTTCTTCGTGAGATGTGAATAGAGCTTAGGCCTGTAATAACAACTCAAAGCCAACAAAACTGGCAGGCAGCCATTTTATTCTACATGGGGAAATAATATCCAAAAGGACCAACAAAAATGTTAGGGAACAAGCTTTCTAGTCCCCCCAGAATTCTTAACCAGGCTGGGTGTGTAAAGGAGACAAAAATAAAAGGGGGGACAGAGAGAAAAAGATGCTGTTGGGCATGATGAACTAGCCCTTCTGTCTGTGGACTGCAACAGGCTTCAAAAGGTGCATAGGAAGTACAATGCCTTTAAGCCAAACTAGGTGCAAAAACTATCTCCAGTTGCATCCAAGCTCACTAGGACTGCACGCAAAGGCAGTTCTCAAAAATGTGAAAGTCAGGGCATCATCAGATCTCTCTCCAGATCAACACATACACCAACCTAATAAAAGAAATAAAACCCCCTAGTTTTTAACAGAATTGCATTAAAAATGGGAAAAGAGGGGGGGGGGGAGAAAAAGAATAGCAGCACCTCTCCAGCCTGCACTGCTAAGCAAAGTATTGTTAATTTTTGCAGAGTCGCATGCTTCAGAGGCCACAGAGCACAATTCACTTTGGAGAAGGATCCCGCAGAGGTATCTCCCCCCCCCCCCAGGAATGGAGAGAGCTTTTTTATGGTGGAAGAGAAAGCAAGGGCTCTGCAATGGAGAGATGCTTACACAATTCCGTTTCTTGCATGGGAAGGCTTAGTTTGAGGGACTGCAACGCTTCTTTCCTAAGAACTATGCCCTCAGCACTAGCTCCCCGAGACGACTTTAGGTTGGCATTGAAACCGGGCACACCTGGAACAGGCTCTTCCCCACGCGGACCACTGGCAAGATCAACAGACGCAGGGAGATCAGGAAACCGAGACGCCGGTCCATTCTGGAAAGGGCTCTCCTCATTGTTCGGTGCCAGACTCTCTTCTTCAGTTGGCACTTGGCCATCATTTGTACAAGCAACTGGGTGGGGGGGAGAGTATCGCATTGCTCTATGTTAACACAGTGTTAGAAGCATAATGGGTGAATGGCACAGCTGGAGATGTCAAGGCCTGGAAAAATTCAGGGGGGGAAAGGGTTCCCCCCCTGATTTTTAAGATAAGTGCTGCTTGTTGGGGTCAAGGACTTGGACCAAAGGTCAGGCTTGGCATAACACAGCTTCACACATTCAACCTCAAGTACATAATCAACAACAGACGAACAATGAACTAATTCCTTTGCTTTCTTCTAGGATGCACTCTAGACCTAAGGCAATCTTAAAGTAAGAATGTACAAAGTGCCTTACCAGATCTTCCCACTGTGGCTCAAAGAGACCCAGGGAGACCATCTAAGAACTTCTGCTCTAAAATATTCTACAGGTGTAGCTTGCTAATACATGTTATGGACAAAAAGGAGCGCTTGAACTCAGAAACACTGCTGCTCCAAAGTGTAAGAAACATATTTGATGGTAGATTCAGGATAAAAAACATTATAACATGTACGTAACAAGATTTAAGCCAATATTAAAGGGAGAAGCAGACAAATCCACAGAGGACAGGTCCATTATATGATGATTAAACAGACCTTGCAAGTTCAGAGGAAGTAGACCAGTTGCTGGGAAGCAATGACAGGGGGAGGGGCTTTGGCCTCTGCACCCTGGTTTATAGTCTTTCAGGGAAATCTGATTGGCCACTGAGGGACTATACCAAGGGTGTCAAACTCATTTGTTATGAGACCTTGTTGGGCCGGGCCATGTGTGTCATAAAATGTAATGCCAGGTAGCGGAGATATAAACTTTATAAAGGACACAAACACAAAGGGGTTTTTTTTTACTTAAAATAAAAACATGCTTAAAATATTAGCACTCTTGCAATATTTTGCTTATGTAACAGTGTCTGATAACTGGCATCTCTTGCTTTGAATTATTGCATCAAGATGTCTATGCTGTTGCAATCTTGAGTATGCTGTTCAGGTGTGTCTCTGTAAGCTGCAAACCTATGATGACGCAGCAGCAGCAGAACTGGAAGCAGCAGCAGAAGACAGCCAGTTCCACTGCGGGCCTGATAGAAGCCCCCCGAGCCTCATGTTTGACACCCCTAGGCTATACGATGTAACTCTGCAGACCTTTACTCTGATTAAGCAAAGTTCTTTTTATATCTTTAAAAATATCTAATCAAAAGAAATTACTTACTCTCTGTGCCATCTCCTCCTGCGAGTGAATCCGACTTGGCCTCGAGGTCCACAAGCTGTTCAGAACCGCAGGGGGCTCCATTGCTGGCTGGCTTCTCCAGCAGGAGAACAGACGAGTCCATGGCAAAGGCGCTGGGAACTCTCTCATCAGCCGAATAACTCACTTCCAAGTGAATTACCAAGTCCTTTTTCTCTCCATTGGGGGCACAGCTACCAACGGGCACACAATGCTAACCCTTTTTCATCTGTTGTTTTAGAGCGGGCCGCTCAGTTCCGCATTGTCTGCAGGCAACTCAGAAATTCCAGCCGGTTATTAAAGCATGCTGTGGGGCTGAGGGGGAGAAAGTCATTACCAAGTTGCATCTCTTTCTAGAAATCAGAGACATTTATTTTTAGAAGCTGTCGTAGAGAGCGATCAACTCTATCACATATAAAAGCCAGACCAATATTCATTGTAGCATGACCGAGAAACAGAAGCCAGGAGGGACCTCGGCAAATGAAAGGGTGGCCCGATGTAGGTAGGAACAGCCATAGTTCTCAAATACTGGGATCGCCAGGAGCAGGTGGTTGGTTCAGGTTTGGCTTCAGTGGTGTCAACCCACAGTACAATCCTAAGAAGAACTGGTGGTGGGAAGCGCTGTCAAGTTGCAGCTGATTTATGAAGAGAAGAGATTAAATTTATACCCCACCCTTCACTACCCAAAGGCGTCTCAGAGTGGCTTACAATCCCTTTCCCGTCCCCTCCCCACAACAGACACCTCGTGAGCAGTGTTCCCTCTAAGCTGAGTTAATGTGAGCTAGCTCACAGTTTTTTAGCCTCCAGCTCACACATTTTGGTCTTAGCTCAGGAAGGATGGCTCCAGAGCAAACTAATTTATGCAGCAGCCAAACCACTCACTCACAGCTTTAATGCCAGTAGCTTACAAAGCAGAATTTTTGCTCACATGACTCCACAGCTTAGAGGGAGCACTGCCTGTGAGGTAGGTGGGGCTCTGAAAGAACTTATGATTGACCCAAGGTCACACCAGCAGCTGCATGTGGAGGAGTGGGGAATCAAACCCGGTTCTCCCAGATTAGAGTCCGCACTCCTAACCACTACACCAAACTGGTGACCCCCATAGGGTTTTCAAGGCAAGAAAGGTGTTCAGAGGTGGTTGGCTATTACCTGCCTCTGCATAGCAACCCTGAATGTCCTTGGTGGTCTTCTGTCCAAGTACTAACAGGATGAATGTGGGTCTGTCACTGCCTCCCAGTCTAACCCCTTCACATGGTTGTTGGGGAAATACAATTGGGAGAGGAGATCATGAATCTATCAATTAATATGCTATATTAAGAAGAGTTTATCATTGTGCCGTGCACGCAGACCAAAGCAAAGAAATATTAAATAAGCCAAAACGAACAGACAAAAAACTAAACTAAAACCTGTACATATAAACCCCTGGAAGCTAAAATGACTAATCTGAGACTGTCATACTTTGGTCACATTATCAGAAGACAAAAGTCACTGGAAAAGACAATAAGGCTAGGAAAAGTTGAAAGCAGTAGGAAAAGAAAGAGCCAACATGGGATGGATTGACTCACTCTAGGAAGCCACAGCCATCACTTTGGAATGACAGAATGTTCTGGAGGTCATTCATTCATAGGGTCATCATAAATTGGAAGCAATTTGACCGTACTTAACAGTCATACACAAATAAATCAGCAAGCCATGACAATAATCTGGCTAATTTAGGGAACACAACCATAGTTACCATTTTCCAATTAACATGGTTTGACTGAAAGTAGATATTCAAGAAACTAGTTCAACACTGCAGTTAAGAATGTCAGACAGGGGAGATCCAGATTCAGATCCGTACTCAGTCATGAGACTGACGTCGGCCCCGGTCACACGGGCCGGATATCACGGGGAGGAGGCGTGGCTAATTGCCCCGGTGCAGTTTGATCCGCGATTATGCGATCAGACACGCCAGCAGCACACCACCGATCCTTCCCTTGGCGCAGCGGGTAAACAAGGGACCGGAGGGGAATGCCGCGTGCCGGCGCAATCACACCACGGGTGTCTGGAGGCAGCCCGTGGCAAACGTTTACTAGTACCTTAGAGCTACTAGTTTTTTAACGCGCATTGTTGGCGGTAAGCCACAGGTGCGCTCCACTTCCCAGATGTTGGGGTGTGATCGCACCTGGATAATCCGCCCACCATCCGTGCCTCTCCCGCGGCAACTTTGCCGTGTGAACGGGGCCTTCGTTCAGCTTAACCTACCTCACACGGTTATTGTGAAGATATAAAAGGAGGAAAAATAACCAAGCATGCGGCTTTTAAACTCTTTGGAGGAAAGGACAGATGTGAGAGAGAGGGACACTGGTTGCCAAAATAATGCTTCAGGACTCTCAGGAATCCTCTGAAGCATGGAGATAAGGCAACGTGTGTAGCTGCTGCAGATTAGAAACTGAGGCACGGAACTGGAGGCCAGGTGGTGGGAGGAAGGGAAGGGAAGGTATCCAGAGGAGCAGGGGGGTGGATGACACCATCCCTTTAATTATTATTTGCAAATCTGGGGTAACCTCAAAAGTTCCACAAGATTATAAGTTTAGTGATTTTGGATCCTGTTCCTGTACAGTGATTGCATTAACCGTATCAGAGCTATTACAAGTGCAGCCATTGCTACAGGGAATACGTTTTTAGTCCCAATTCATACTGCCAGCTGCGTTTTATTTTCACCATCCATAGCTGAGGGTTAGAACACTTTATCCATTCAGGTTCAGACAGCTTCATTGATACAGCAACACACTTGTTTACTGAGCCCATGCATCCAGCACCGCAGCTATCATATATCACATCGCAGACGAGTGAAATACTACAAGCCTTGGCGCAGTACGATGAAGCTTCACTGCCAGGAAAAACTGGCCTCCTGGAACGGAGAGGTTGTAGAAAAGCTTTTCTTAAAGTTCCCCTAAAGAAGAGCCACCAAAACAAAATACACTCCCAGAGGCCTAAGACCCTCTGGAAGCTGCAAAGGTTGCTGGGGAGTGTGCTATTGTACACCCTTATTTCATGGACAGACAGCCCTTTTCAGAGAAAAACTGGGGAAGCTCCATCATCACCAGTGTTCTCAACGAAAGAATACCTCATAAGTAATTCCAGCATCCCCCCCCTCCAACACCATTTAAAAAATATTGTCATAGCTCACTGGTTGTCTCCTATTAATGTAACCTTAGGAAGTCGTTTGTCTCATTGGCTGAGCAGCTACAGCACCACTCGTCATGACTTCTAAACCATACACAGGATCTAGATCAGAATCCACCTACACAACACACTCAGAGCACTTCTCACACACATTACTTCACTAATCCTTACAACATCCCTGTAAGGTAGACCAGCACTGACACTGCAGAAGGGATGGTCTGCCACCTGGTGAGTGTGTGGCAGAGATGACATTTGAATCAGGGGCCTCACAACTCATTCCCTTAACCACTCTGCTATATACCAGTTCTCCTAGTGACTCTATACCAATTTCAGGTTATGTCAGTTCTACAATAAAGGAATAAGGCTCATCACCACACCAAGTCAGTACATCTGCCCCTTACAGTGTATGAAAATCAAGACTCACAAGAAACAGATATATTCAGGTGGGTAGCTGTGTTGGTCTGAAGCAACAGAACAAAGTTTGAGTCCAGTGGCACCTTTAAGACCAACAAAGTTTCATTTTGGGTATAAGCTTTCGTGTTCATGCGCACTTCTTCAGATATCTGAAGAAGTATGCATGCACACAAAGGCTTATACCTCATAATTAAACTCTGCTGGTCCTAAAGGTGCCACTGGACTCAAACATTCTTAACATACAGATACATACAAGTAAGTGTTCCTACCACCCCTAGAAAGAACCAACTGCCTGACAATTATATATCCTATATTTAAGAAGGAAATAATAGTAAGGAATGCTCTTGTAAAGAACTGTTTCTGGGTTGTGCTTTTTAGAAAAGCCCGACCCTTTTTTAAAAAAAGAAAGAAACCTCACAAAATTAGATGCAAGTTAATGCAAGCCTTTTCTAAACGCTGATTTAAGAAGAGGGGGGGGACCAGCTCATAATAAGCCATACTGTACAGAAATGAAAGTTAATAAAGTACTATTATGGCATCCAACATTTTCAGACACGTCATAAGACAAGACAAAATGTGTATACCCCAAGATACATATTTTTTTCATTTATGTAGCAGATTTTTTTTAACACCACCTCTCCAGGAATCTGCCAGGTGTGGCTTACAAAATAAAAATTCTTAAAAGATAATGTTAAAAGATATCAACAAGTGGGAGAGAGATAACTTTTGTTATCATACTTTGAAAACAAAGCAGCATTCTCTACACGGACAGAAATACAGGTAGGATGAGGTAAGCACAACAGAAACATGTAATTGTATCATTAAGCAACACCTCAGGGGCCAACAGAAACAGTAAAATAAGTAAGAAGAAAACATCAGCTGGAAGATCTAACACAACACCAATCTAGCTGGTCTTTAAAGTGAAGAAGCATCTCAAGGGAAATCTGAGAGCTTGAACAACAGTAAGCATGTTGCATCCTCTCTTCCGCACTTCTCAAAATGATTTGAGAACCAGTGAGGCACAGTGTTTGAACATGGACCACAGAGACCAGGGTTGAACCCCTCCTGCTCAGCCACAAAAGTGTTCATTGGATGATTCTGGGCATGTCAATATCTCACAATTTAGTCTACCTCACAGAAATGCTGCGAATTCTGGAGGGGTGGGGAGACAGTTATATCATGTACACGTTATATAGGTCTTACTGTAGAATCAATAATGTGCAAAACCGTATAGCCTTCAATGAAGTCAAAGCCCGGTCTGGACGTAACATGCAAATAGGGTTGCTGATTCCAAGTTCAGAAATATCTGGAGATTTGAGGGTGGAACCAGGAAGAGTGGGGTTTAGGGAGGGACAGGATCTTGGTAGGATATAATGCCATGCAGTCCACCTCCCAAAGCAGCCAGGAGAAGAGGAATAAATGCTTTAAGTAAATAAGTGATTTATGTAGTCTGAAGATCAGTTGTAATTTCAGCAGATCTCCAGCCCCCATCTGGAGGTTGGCAACACTACATGCAAAGGAAATTACACAAAATTTCTCCATGGACAGGATCCACCCTTGTTTTCAAGGGGTAAAGGCATCCTCAACACAAATCCCTAGGGCTCTTCTTTTTCACTTCACACAGAGGCCACGGTGAAGATCTGAGATTGGATTTGGGCCAAGGCATGTATGTAGACGTGTGAAGGGGAGCCTGAGTTTTAGCAGAGGGAGGACTGA